AGTAGTCAAGAAATGCACAATGCACATATTTAGCTTTGTCGTTAAGGGACTTACAGATGAAATGAACTAGAGAAGAAACGGTATCTAATGTAGAGTGGTTATGTTTGTATGCAAACTGATAAGTGTCATCGAGGGTGGTAAGAGATAGCTGNTCATCAATTTCAAACCAGTGGAGGTGAGAGCAATTGGTCTAAAACGCTTCGCTGTTGGGACCTTTGACGTTCCTTTTGGGATGGGAGTAATTCTCACTGGGCGCCAGCAGTCTGGAATAGTTCAGAGTTCGAGTGTAAGGTTAGCTATGTGTGCGAAAATCTGAGACAGTGGCAGATCACCGTGTTTAAGAAGGGTGGGACTTAAGTCGTTTGGACCAGGTGCGGTGGACACCTTGAGAGAACACATGTTTCTACATCTCACCAAAGGTGACGGGATCAAACACCTGTAAACGTTCAATGCAGTGGATAATTATCACTATGATTTAGTTTGTTATCAGATTGTATCTAATGCAGTGCTATCACATGTTCCACGTGCAGCAACTACTAAAAAATATCCCCCTACCCCACCCAACTCCCTCCCTGCACGCTATCAGATGGTTAGATACAGGGGCTAAACTTACAAGCGAATATTGTGCATGATTGATTAATTACACAGGACTGTTGCGCACCATTGCACTTGCAGTTATTCCATTTCATTCAATTGATGCAAAAAATGATCACCCGGTAGATTTGTTTTCATTTGATTGACGAGAATAAAACACACTTCGCCATGTGTCGACTGGAACAATCAAGGTAATGATGTGCACACTCTTGGGTCAGTGGAACTACGAAAACAAAAGTTTTATTTTATTGTCATTGACCCCCAACGTATAGATTCCGTGAGGGTCTGCTAGGAAATCAATGAAAATGTTTGATGAAATTGAAATGTATTTGTAGAATTGAGAAGTATTTGTCCTGGAACTTTTATTGCGTTTTTTGAGAAGTGTCTAGTAATTTTACATTAATTTACGACGACAAAACTGCTTTCAGTAATAATCTTGGAACATTGAGTTTAAATTTGCTACATAGCACGAAATCAGTCAAAAATGATAAACGTATTCAGTTTTCATTTATTTTCGGTAAGTTTCCCCCTTTTGTAGAGAAGTGACTGAATGTTTGTGTCTTATATTTAATCAATCTTTAATGTAGTTTTTACTGGTAGTTACTGCTGAGCAGTAACCTCCGTTCCCGGAAAAGTTTGCACCAATTCGTAACTCGGAATTCGTTCACCAAGTTTGTGCAAATAATGCCGAACCGTTTTATTGTTCTAGATCGAGGACGCTAAGGCAATATGCGGAAGAGGAGGAACGTTCCCTCGAGATGAGAAATCTGTCACACAACTTATGCCATCCGTTGTTTATGGGATAGATGCTCATTTCGTTTTCTCTCCAGAAACGTCTTACACTAAGCTAAACAGAAAATAAGCAGCGTTATCAAATGGATAACTAACTGGTTTTCGTTCTCGAATGCTTCCTGGTGTGCGATGAATCGCTTAATGCAGTTCGACGTGTTTTTTCTAGTTTATCAAGGGAACCGTCAAAATTTCCGGATATCTTGAATCCGGTTCTGCGTGATCAAATCTGGAGCTACGAAAAATAGAGTATAAATTAATTTCCATAATGCATTTCTCTAACACAGACCCCAGCTTTTTGACGATAGAACACTGCAAATTTTTCGCTAATCTACTTGATGTACAGATGCATTTCTCTTGAGATTAAAAGAAAATCAATCATCTTGGCTCACAGAAGTATATTTTAAAGTTTCCTTTCTCAGAACCACTTTAATTAATGAATTCAATCATAATAGACACTGTCTGGTACAAAGTCCGTTAATCACACCCGAATGGAGTATATTTTCTAATGTTCACATACTGAACTGGTGGCATTTTTGAATAGTGATTTATATTTACTACAATCCGGTACTGTACTTAAGACCTGCTACACTTTTTATGTGAAACACGTTATTTCTAAGCCGAACAGACTGAGAATCTAACAAATACAATCCTGTTTTCCTCTGTTTTATCCTATCCGTAAACTTTCAGTTATGGAAGTAGCCTGTGGTGAACACGGGGATAATGTGCTTCGACTGGCCTGTGCTGTCCGTCGTGGTGTACTGGATGAGACAATTGCGAAACTGATCAAACACGAGATGGACGACAGTCCGATATCAGCCCCATGCTCTCCCCTATCCTCTTCCACGGTAAATGGATGGAAATGTGGTAATGGAGCAGGAACAACACCCACTGGAGCTCCTGTTCCAACAGTCATCGTTCACGGAGACGAACATTCCTCTCTCGGTCCCATCTCCCCAGACACACCCACTCATTCCGCTCTCGATGCAGAAGGGGCAGGTACTGGTGAATCTGCATTGCTGTTGCATCATGCTGAACTGGGCTTTGCCGGTCGATCGAATGTGAGTACTATTGTGGTTGACAATAAATGATCATTCTTATGTCCCCATACAGAACAAGGTTCGTTCTTTCGTCAAACGAATGTTTCGAAATGCGAACTGTGCAGAAGTCGCAGAATAGTGAACTAGGATAGTACACTATGTTTACGACACTGAAGTGATAGCTACAATTATCCATCATGTTAAGCACGACAGAAAATCAATAAAAAGAATGAACTACATATGTCCGGTTGTTCGGTAGCCTCCGGCGATTGGTAAGTCGCCTCTAACTCTACTTTATCGCACACGACCTAAGGAAGAAGAAACACGTCTACCCTATACCGTCCTATTACAAAACTTTACGGCACGCCTGACTTTTTGACCCAGTAACATAACATGCCGGCCTGCTATGAGTCACGCGTAAACGTTCCACTTAAATGAGGAGTGAACCAATGGGAAAATTCCAGCTTTTGTTGAAAAAATTCCACTATGTTCAAAATATGGAATCGAACATCTGAGTAAATGCGAAAGTCTGCTTGTGAATTGCATTACACAAAACGGACAAAATCCAATCCACTGTCCACTTGCACACTTGTTGGAACTCTCAATTTGGTCTTTGTTCGTTTGAGAAAACTGAAAACTTCCTCGATCGGATTATACATTGCACGTAAGATGGAAGAAACACAATGGGATGTACAGCTACAGTCAGTAATTCACCCGCCTGTCCGTGAACTGGAGCATTATTAAAAAACGTACTCTTTCAGTATATGGTCGTTCATTTTCCACATCTAAAGAATACACCACACGAAATGTGTTAATTTCAGCATAATTCAGGCAACTTATTACTTTTGAAAATTTGAAGTACTATTCAGTTCTGTCAACCTTGAGTTTTCAATATTTCAATGATACATTTCCAAAAAACATGAACGTTCCCCCTAGGTGTTTTTTTAGTTCGAAGGGGAAATTAGTACATGATTCATGTTAGCCTGGAAGGTCACGTAACTAGGTCAGGACGTCTGCTTCAGTGTTCCTTTAAGAGGTGAGCGAGGGGTTGTCGGAGCGGCATTTTGGCTCTCCTCCAGTTCTTGGTCTCTAACCTATACACATTTTTTTACCGAAATACTGCCAGAGAGTATTGAAAATGGTCAGACAGCTAGTAAACGATGAGCAATATTCCCATAACCAGGATGAAACCTGTCGTTCAGCTTGCGTGGGTTCTTGTTCCCCGAATAAAATCTTAAACATGATTATTGATACACAGTAGGATGTTAGAGATTGGACGTTTGCTAAGCATGTTTTTTGTTGAGCTCTGGCTGTATTGCGTGGTGGTGATCTCGTGGTAACTTCACCAAATTATCACCCTGGTGGACGTGTTCGGACCCCATCGCCATCTCCAGACTTTCCTCATTATATATTATTTGGCAGGGCTTTGAAAATTATATCTTTCTTTATTCCATAAAACAAAGTAAAAATGAAAGAAAAAGGAAAGTATATACCTTTGAAGCAGCATGAAACAAATATTTTCATTTCATTCCAAAATGGTGCCAACTCAGCTTTATTTGAATGTTATAGTATTGTCAACACAGTGATATCGGTAGACAAGTATATTAGCCAACGTTTCGGTTGTTGTGGGTAACCTTTCTGAACGCAGTTTTTACAATCAAAAGAGAGAGAAAACTCCCAACCACTTCGAGGGTGTTACCAAATAACAAAAGTACTGACACAGACTCCTGTCATTCATGTTGCATCACCTTGTGCTTTGAAAGTGCAAACCACTTAACATATCGAGCAACCTCAATTCACAAGCGAATTAGTGGGTCCTGGTTCTGCATCATCTGTGTTGTCACCGTGCCATGCTTCAACACTGGCCTACTCCGAGTTCACAAATCCGTACCCAGGATGAGTCTTTGCTAGATTTATTTGCATTAGGTAACGCTTGTTAAAGGATGTCAATAATGGTGAATTGGAAGAGGGACGGAGAAATAGGAACACTTTGTTATACGAAAGTGAAAGGCAGCCATGGTCTAGCCATTCTGCGAGGTACAATTGTTTGGGGCTCCAATGATCAGAAAATAGTTCTTGATTACTCCATATCTTAGTGAACAAACCCTAAAGGCAAGTCGATCGATGGTGTTAATGGCCGCTCCAGTGTCCAGGAACACGATAAAGGTTTGTCGTCTAAAGATGTGATGGTCTTTGAACAGCTGGCGGAGGATGCAATTCCACTTCACTGAGGAGACCAGCACTTAAAAGTAGTAAACTGAACTTCCTCAACAAAGATCGTTCGAAAGGCCTAATCATCTGGGGGAATTTGTAGAGTACTTTGGTACTGGTAGCCATTCTGGTGTTCGAAACGCTTTCTTCCGACCACCCGAAGACATTTGAGGGCCAGGTTTACCTTGGTTTTGTTCAATATTTGTTATTTTCGGCTGAGTTATCTTTGAGTTTATCTATTGTGTAATTCTGTAGGAGACTTATGTGTCCACAAAAAAATGTTTTATCCTTGAAAAAAGAAAACTATAATCGCATGTTCTTTGATGCAATTGACGGAGTTAACAATGGGTAAACAGTTGAATAACATCGGGTAGTTCAGTGATGCAGAGCAGGTGAAGTTCACGTTTAAAAGGACTGTTGGGTTCCTGGTAGAAGTTGAAAACTGGAAATCGGAACTATACACCTCAATTGTTAAAATGTTTGGTAATCTTTCGGACTTTGTAGTCGCAAACATTTTATAGCTATACGCAAGAGCTTCAGTCAATCAGTTTAATCATTTCGTCATAGGTTGAATTACTCTTCTGATCGACATATTCATATGAGATAATAGATGACATCTTATGCATGTCAAATATCCTGATATGTTGAGCATGATGTAGAATTGTGTTCTTTAACCCAAAAATTTCCTTCTTGTTTTAAATTTTAGCCCCTCGTTTCCGAGATCTGTGCTTTCTTATTTAACAAATCCTGCAATGCCTAGGTTTGACCAAAATATTCATGATATAGATACTTTAGTACTCATTTATGTTTTCATTTTATGTTGCGCATTATTTTCCGGAATGTTGTGTTTATGTTTCTTGATAGGAACGATCGGCTTCTCTATTGAAACTGTCCAGTAACGGTCCGGTGTCTTCTAAAATACTTTCAGAGGAACGTTTGCAAAGAAATAATCAAGGAGTAAGTTCAGTTAAATGATTCGCCACATTCGATGCTTGATAAGAATGACTGCCATTGATACGGTAGAAATAAGTACTTGATTTTCAAGCACGTTTTGCAAATGAAAAGCATCCTCTTTAGTAGTCACATTTGGAATACGGTTTTATGTAGTAATGACCAATAGACCGTTGACGAACAACACCGTCGGATATGCAAACAGAAGACTCATTGAACTCGTGGTCATATGCGGCGGTGAGGCGGTGGCGTGATCAGTGGAGATGATAGAAACACCTTACATAGAAAGGTCAGCCATTCTTTTTAAACTATCAAGTTGTGCAAATGCATGGAAACTGATAAAAACTGGTAATATCTTAGTACCACAGGATTGTTTAAATCTGCCCTAACAGTCGGAAAATAAGGAGTGTTGGAAAACAAGAGTTTAATTTTATATCCTATATTCTATATTTAAGACGTGTCACGCGTTTCATGAAATTAAGCAATTATCAGCACTCTGAGTGCTGGCGTCATATTTTATTAGATCTTCTGAGAGGTAAATCATACTTTGATCAGTAGGATTGTTCATGTGGAGCTTATAGAATTCCCGGTCGTGTTCTAGGTCTCACTGTAGTCAAAACTGTTGTCATTGTGGTCAAGCCCTCGTCGTGATAACATTGCCATCCATTGCTGTTTCCGAATAAAGCTCTTTATCATCAAATCACCAGATGGATCAGCAAAAGACATGGGTAATCATCATTCTTGAAATATAAAGGATATTGATAGGTAATCGACGGTATAACTTCACCAAAGAGTGAATCGAATGTTCCAATCTCTAGTGGATTAAACCTCTGAACCTTGTTCCATCTCTTCTTCCTACATTTATTCCTTCTCAGACTTAGTTCAGATGAACTGCCGACAGTCTGAAATATAACTCACTTCTTTATTCTATAAGACGGTAAAATCTGCTACACCTTGCAAAAAATAATGACTGTATTTCTTCCATAGCCAAAAACGATTCATGATTTCTGTTGTTAAAAATAAGAAGCAAAATTTTTATATAGGTGTTTTTGTTCAACGTTGTGTTAGCATATCGAATTCTGTTTGTTGAGATTCATTGCTTGATATTTTCTCTTTAAACACTCCTACTGAAATAGAAAAAAAAGGAATTTTATGGCTTTCATTTGTAACAAATATTTACAAATCATACACTAACTGGATCCCAAAGCTCACAGATATTTAATTCACCAAAAAGCTAAATATTCTGTTTGCCCTCTAAACTTTGCACACCGAATGGGACAGAATTTGATTTCCTCTTGATTTATAACTCCTATTGGGTCACCGATGACAAGATTCAGGCATTAACCTACTTTTGTGTGTTTCCTCAATTGACAATCGCCTCAACCTGTTTGCACCTAAATGCTTATCTGTTGCCATTTTGGGGTTTTTTGAAGAGTCTGAACCAAAGCATTCAGCCTTCATTTCTGCTCAGAATTTCATTGGTTGGGAAGAAAAATGTGTACGCTATTCAATCAATAGTTAAGTGGGTTGTTTGAACACTTCCTTTCCCGTTTGTGCACCTAAACGGTGAAAACTCATTTGTGTGGAATGGACATAAATGCTCGTTGTTGCGTGCACCAATTCATCACCTCACACACACGTACGTATCATCACTGAGAATACGAATGACAAATTTAGTCAGATTCTGTGTGTTGAGAGGTTGCCTGAAATTCAAGCACTAATAAATGATTCAGTGAGTTTCATAGAAAGAAATTTATAAGATAAGTATTTTGAAATTCACCGAAGCATCTTTAGCCCATATTTACGTGGTGTCATAGTTATCAGGGCGTGCAATCTGTTTACTTACACAGATCAGTTCATAGCCGGGTGATGAACACTGTTTTTAAAAATTCGATCCACGTTCGAGTGTGATCGTTGTGACGATAATTCGAATCTTAGATTGTCGGTGAGTTTTTCGACAGAAAACACACAGCCGTATGCTATAAAATCTTTCAGTCTCAAGTAAATAAGAAGTTTCAGTTATGGTCACTCATTCGTTCGTTCGAACGCGCGTGATTTAGAGTTTCCATTTCTTGTGATTTTTCTTTTTTATACAGTTTTGCTCTTGCTCTCATGATCTGGTTGCCACACTAAACAACAAAATCTATTTTCCTGTCCAGTGGATTGCCTTCCTATTGGTCACAAGCCNGCCTCTCACCCCGTATGCCTGGTTTAATATCTTCACAAACATTCTGTATGATCTATCGAAGTTCATTGTCAGCGTAGGTTTATTCTTCCCGTGTGAATCAAATTTCAAAATGGAACGAGCTAATTGAAACGACAAGATGCGCTCAGTGAACTCCTATCCGGACCGATCATTCTAAACCACTGCATAAACATCATGTTTAATCGTCGCTGACAAGCAATTTCAAACATTTTTAGAACGCACATGCTCTTATGGTACTGCTTGGACGGTCACACGAAACATCTGAGCAACCAGATTCAACTGAGTGCATGAATTTCTATCTCAAAGTTTTCAAATATAAAATTAGCTTCTCTGACATGTCGACAACCAAACAGTGTATTTCATGAATCCATTTGCATGCAATATTGTAATAAAGCGAGTACAAAACTTCGGACGGATGACTATCATCAAAGTTTTACAAAAAAACCAAGACGTTGCTTAAACTCGAATCATTGGTTCACCTTTGGAAATGAATCCACTTGAACTCACTTTGACGAATTCTTGGCAAGTTAAATGATGTATCCGAAAAATATAAAAACGCACTTCGTACACGTGGTAAACATGTGTGCTATGGGGAAAACAAATCTGGTTCCGCAAATAGGTTACTATCCGATACGCACAGGTTATGCGAAGGAGCGAATAAAGCGGTACCGCTTATTAGATCACAACACACTGAAGTCCATACAGGTGTTCTCTCGGTAAAGTTTTCGGCAATAAGTGTGCTTCGTCACGGAAGTTTGACCCATTGAAATAGAATCATAAATTTCATACAATTTTGCAAACGAATCACATTTAAAAGTCGTCTGATACGAGACCAATAACCAATTTACCGACGAAAATATCATCAGCTTACGCCTAAATTCCGGATGTCGAAATACTATATCACTGACGTTGTAGTGGTTTGAGTGCGTCGGACATTCACATTTTCGTTTGATTATTTATCTTTCTATTTTACTTTCTATCCATTTTTAGCAACAAGAGACTGACTGATAGAAGAGCAGTAGTTGTGTCCTATAAGAGAATATAAGACAGGTTGTGTTCTTAGAGGGTTCTGAACAAATGATCAATCTCCAGAACGACGTGATCGTGCCATAAACTGTCAGAGGGCATACATAGAACAATAGGATTGGCATCACAATTCCTTACTTCCGAAGTTTAGTATAGAACAGTAGTTTATGGACTGATGGAATCTGAACCACGTGCATCTTTGTTTATTCATCACAAATGCTGTCAATTTGTAATTCATCGGAGAAACAGTCAACTCGGTCACTGAATAGTAGCCGACCTCAAGAAAAATAATCTTATGCATACAGATGTAAGTTTGAGTGTTTGAAATGCCTCTGTTTTGATGGGGCCTCATTGCTCAGCAGCAATCCTTGGATACCATTCTCAATTTAACTGATAATTATTTCTACAATAAATGGGGTTTATGGATACCACCCTACTTTCTGGGCGGTGATAGTTTACTGGTTAAGGTCATCAAAATAGTGACCCCATTCCAATCGCTCCATCGCTGCCCATCATCTCGAATTCTATATTTTCTCGGGAAACCTTTGTTTGGAGGCAGCTTTGTTCCCGAAGGTTGACTGTACAGTTGTATATTCAATACATAAATAAGGAGAGAAGTATCAGGACACTTTTTATTATTATTCTATTGTGGATTCATAAGTCTTGGATAACTTCATTCGTTTTATTTTGAGTCATTGCGCCGATGACTAGCACTCCTAACGTAACAATGAATTGTCACATGCGAAACCAAATATACAGATGTCGAAAGTAAATGTACATTTAATTTGAGGATTGATGAAGATTTCTTGAAACCGGTGTTAGCATGATGGATAAGTTTTTGTTTACAAAGAATGATTTTCAACGGTACCCATTCGAAAAGCATAAGAACAAAAGGAAAAAATATAATACGTACGTCCAGAAAAAGTTAATTATATACGTGGCTAGTTGTGGTATACGAAACAGTTGTTTAAATACTGTTTTTAGATGAAACAGAGGAAGCAGAATGTTGGCAAGTAACGGTTTATATCCGAAAATCATCTGAAACATTCGGATAACGAAATACATATGATGTGCAAGTTATTCTGTCGATCATATATACATATATGTATTTTATAATAAGTAGTATATGCATGACTAGATAAAATTTGCCTGGAAGCACATCAACGGTTTCGCGTTTTTTTCCGTTTGTCAGGCATGCGTATCCGATGCTCTTTTGCCAGTTTATTCATACACTTGTACCCAGGAAGTGTATTTTCGTCACTATATATATATAT